TGTAAAGAAACATGGGATTACTGTTGTGCCTTTAACACAATAATAACTATTGTATCTCAATTTGAGATTTATTATGGGGTTATTTTTATGATCTGAATCGTTCATTTTGTAGGATTTATTGAATACTTCATACCTATCAAAAATCATATTCATCGGATATCAATAATTATGTGACTTGATTGCATACTTTTTACGCTATTTCTCAAAAGAAAAACTTGTTGTTTATTTTTTTATGATAAATTTAATTCGATCATATAGTTATTGATATCCAATAAATATGAATTTTGATTGGATTGCATAATTAATTTTGTTAAATAAAAATTCTGCCAAGAAAATATTTGTAATTTTCAAAGCACAAGGCGCAATTCTTATTTAAAAAAATGTTAAGAGATGTATTTGTAATTTGCACAAAAAAGAATGTATGTGTGGTAATTGTTTTCATTGTAAAAGAAAAAAAATGAAAATAGTTCTTAAAGAAATAGAAAAAGCTTTTCTATTTTTTATTTTTACTTGTTTTGAAAATAAGTTTTCTTTCCCCACTTCCCCCTCTTTCTGAAACCCACTCCCCTTCTTCCTCCCCCCTCTGGCAACCCCTATTGGCCAATCCCCTCCTCCCTTTGATCACTTTTCACTTTAATAACTCACAAATATGTTATTAATTTGTTTTTGTAAAAAAACACTTTTTGATTTTATGTTAACATAAGATTATAAGGTTAATTACACTAAAACTTTCTTAACTATTTGAGAATATTTTCTTGGCCTATGAACTTATAAATTTTGATCCCTCAACTATAAAATCTTTCTGCTGGGGGCTGAAGGTAATGAAAGGATCTTATGTCTACTTAGAACTGAGTCCTATATATACAGCATGCAATCTCCACTGGCTACTTAGCAAACTAGAGGTATTGCACCTATACTTATATAATAACTAAAATGGGTGTTACAAAATCATGAAATTTTTCATAATAAGTTTTATGGTTGATTTAGAATATTTTTGAAAACAAGTACTGAAGTGTAATTCCACACACCCCCCCCCCGTAATTCCCCCCCCCCCCCCCCCTCCCGGCGGGTCTATTAACTGCTTAAAAATAAGTGTGATTGGTTTTGAAAGTAATTTTTTTTATTTTTTTGTTGGATAAGTAAAGTAAAAATTTCATTAAAAACATAAAATTCAATATACAAGGCAATGAAATTCATAGTGAGAGATTCAAAGAGTGCAAACTCTCTCATTACTGCTGCTCATATCCACACAACCAACCCTTTTATCTAAGGAATTTTTTAAATTTTAAATAACAAAACAACAAAGTAAAAACAATACTTAAGTAGATCTTAACTATGCAATATCACATGATGGTCCGACATTATTAAATATTTACTCAATTAAGATTTATGTAACTTTCAATACTTTAGGGTATAATATTTCATATCAATTATGAGTGTTGAGTGAGCTTCCATGCATGCATTATTAAATATCTCAACTAAAACACGTTCCTCACTAACCACCACCACATGTGTCTATGTCCCTCCCCTTCTCATCTTTATATGACCCTAATAGAAGCACATATCCATATTCTTCTTCTTTTAATCTGTAGGGTAACTACCTGTGAACTAGTTTCTCATTGGCAGTTGCATTGACTAATGTTATATAACTAATATTATAAATAATTACGTAAATAATAAAAAATATTACGTAATTTTGTTCAAAATAATGTGATTAAATTTTGAATTCACTCATTATAAATGTGGGTGTAGATAACCCTTCGTTTTTTTGAAGTAACCAATCTCATTTTAAAATAATAGTGTACCAGTAAAAGAACCAATAGGGGATTCGGGTAATGTTCACCCACATTTAAGATAAGTAAAATCAAACTTTTGAGTTTTGGGCCCAAAACTTTAAAATAAAAAATAAATAAAAAGTTCTATTAAAATAGTGGTTAATTACAAAAATGTCACTATCTTCCACAAAAAAATCTATAAAAAATATACATTATTTGGTTTTATTTTAAAATGGGAATTTTATTTTCAAATTCCTCATCATAAGTTTTTAGTAGATTAAGGACATAAGAAAAAAGTTTTTTAGGTCAAGTCCTCTAAAGCTTCCAACATCATTTCGGACCAAAATACTCCAGCACTAGTAGTTTGTTAGGGTATCTTTGGAATGATTTAAAAACTTAAAAGCTCAATAACTTTTGATTTGCATATTTGTTTTTTATAAAATATATATTTTTAGAATATTCTCATCAAAATCTATCAAACAAAATCCATAATGAACATGAAATTTAAAAAACAAAAAAAAAAAAATTCATAAACCCAAATCAGAGAAATTTCACTAAAATCAATTAAATGCCACTATAATTAACTTTAAGTTTCACTGGCAAAATTGGTCAGAAAAATTTCAGAATTGCTCAAAGAAATTTTTGAAATGCTCTAAGAAATTTTTGAATTACTTATTTTCTCTTAGAGAAATTTTAGAAATTGGCCAATTGAGAAGTTCGTGAAATTTCTTTGACTTTTAGTTAGAAAACTCAATGAATTTTTTTTTCTTCAAAATTTCATATTCATCGTGATCTTATTTGATAGATTTTAATGAGATGATTTCAAAAATATAAATTTTACAAAATATGAAGTTTCAAATCAAAAGTTATTAAATTTTAAATTTTTGAAACACATTCCAAAGTACAATCTATCTACAATGAAGAGAGAAGTTGAAATTTCATGGTACCAATTGTTAAAGAGTGCTACTAAATGCCCCTACCTTCCTCATTTTTCTTTGGACCCCTACCATAATCCCAAATATACCCTCAACCCAAAAAAAAATCATTACCTCACCCTCAACTCCGGCAACTCCTCCCACAACCCTCATCCTCCATTGGAAACCCTTCTTCAGCCCCCATTCCTCACCAACAGTCAGCCATTATCACCACATTCCTCATTGATCCACCTCTTCTATCTTCTTATTTTTCTTCTTCTACCCTAGATCTCTCTTCTTTTGTCGATCCACCACCGTGACTATCACCACTGCCACAACCACCCCATTTTGTACCCATCTTCTCCATCAACAATGAAGAATGACAGTGACTCCCTCTCCATCATCGACAATGAAAAAGATTTGTGAGATCCGACTCCCTATCTTGCAGTCAATGAATTTGTTTGATGGTTTGTTTGTTTGCTATGTTGGTTTGTTTGTTACAATGACTAATAAATAAACTAGATTTTTATGCTCAAAACTGAGTAACCGAACAAATCATTTATGTTCAGCACTGTGTTACCGAACCAAAGGAATTATTCAGAATTGTGTTGCCGAACATTCAGGATTTACTCATCATTGTGTTGTTGAACCCACTCTGCCATCGTGAACTTTGAATCCATGCGAGAGCGAGCGAGCGAGCGAGAGAGAGAGAGAGAGAGAGAGAGAGAGAGAGAGAGAGAGGGGGGATAAAAACCTAGGGTTTTTAGAAGAAGACTAAGAAAAAAATGAAGAAGAAGAAGGAGGAGGAAAAGGAGGAGAATGAGGATAAGAAGGAGATGGAGGTAACGGAGAAAGGCTAAGTGGCTACAGTTGGCAGTGAGGGGTTAATGGTTGTTTCGAAGGCTGTCAACTGGAGTCGAAGTGATGGTGGGTTGGTCGCCGAAGGGTGTCAGCGGGAGTGGAAGTGGTGGTGGGATTAGGGTTAGAGTTAGATTTAAAAGAATAGTGACGGGAGAAAATTGGAATTTGATGTTAGGGCAAAATTGTAATAAAATAAAATATAAAAAATTAGGGGTCCTAAGAAGAAAGATAAGGACATTTAGCAAGCCTCTTGTTAAAAGTATATTCTTGACATTTATGTTGAAATATGTCCTTATCTTCATAGAATTTCAAATCTTAGGGACTTTAACTACCAAGTAAATTGTAGCTGTCCTTAAACTCTTACACAAATATGTAAAGGGATCCTTTCCTAATTTTCCTTGAATTTGTTTTCTGAAAACACGAAGGTGAAAAAGTAATGAAAAATTCAAAAACACTCATATTGTTTTCCTTTTATGTGCAAAAATATTTTTTAAAAAATTTTAAAATATATTTTTAGTTTTTTTTTTTTTTTTACCAAAATAAAATTCAAGACATTTGAAAATAGATTTTAAAACAAAACCAAATATAATGAAAATTTTCCTTTCAAACTTAATGGTCCAACCATTACTCAAGGACCACTTGAATAGCTGTACACCATTCAATATGGAATTGAGGTGATTTCCATAAAACAACAAGTTCCTCATAAAAGATGGTCATTTCAATCCTTTCTAAGATAACATGCAATAATTTTTTTTTTCCTTTTTTTTGTTGCTATAAATTGTGGATGTATTGTAACAATCTTAGATTTGATGTGAGGAAGGAGAGAGGAGGTGTGGTCAGTTCTTTATCTATATTGGTTGGTAATGAACTTAATTATTTAGAATCTTAGGTAATTAGATAATGGTTGTTCACACACGTTTTTAAGGGGCCATAGCAACTTGGCTTTTAAAATATCATTTTGGACCCACAAATATAGAATAATCAGAGAGAGCTTAATGAGTCATTCCACAATAAATCAATCGCTATTATTGCTATAGCAATAAAGCTTTCCTTTCTCTCAATCCCATCAATATAATTTAAGCTTACAGCTTCCCTTAATTTGGTGTAGAAATGACCAATCCTGTTCTCCAATATGTCTTGTAAGGCAGTTGGAAGATCATTTCCAATGGCCATTCTAGGGTTTCCTATGGTGATAAGGGCCATCTAGCTAGGCCCTACCCTTGTCCTCAAGTGGTTTTGGCAAGGACTAATTAGAGCACGACACGTGGAAGACTCGATGATGCCCTAGTCACTAAGCCAAAACATAAGGTGGTCATGTATTTATTTATTTAATTTGTTTTTTACTCTCTTTTGTTTCTTTTAGACAAAATGGAAGAATTACCACTCTCACTTATAATGTGGTATACTATGATTAGATGTCAGATTTATTTTTTATGTTCTCGTTTTTTCAAATTAGAAATTTATATTACACTAAGTTTTTAACAAACTCATCCGATATTAGAGAGGTGATTTAAGATATGAGAAATAAGAACATAAGATCTGATATCTAAGAAGAAAATTCGTACCCAAAAGTAAACCTTAAGCTACTTAGGCCATCTTTTTATTTGCTAGTAGTAGTGGTAGTTCACAAGTCACCAGTATAAATATACATGCTAGGGTTAGGTTAACTTATTGTGTCACCTCACATCCCCACTCAAAGCTGTCTTTTCTCCTTCAAGCTCTCCACACCATACTTGATAACAGCTTCTAGCTTTGGATCAGTAAATTGATCGAAAAACTTTGCTGCTTCCTCGTCGCAGAAGGGAATCCTTCCAACATAGCAAAGAATTAGGGTTGCAGAAGTATGAAGAAGCGTGTCGTAAGAAGGGATGCATCTAGCAAAAGGAGCAGTACTTCGGTTGCTCGGAGAGTGCGTTACGCAGAGTGTCAAAAAAACCATGCAGCGAACATCGGAGGGTATGCCGTGGATGGGTGCAGGGAATTCATGCCCAGTGGAGAGGAGGGGACCGAGGCTGCACTTACATGCGCAGCTTGCGGTTGCCATAGGAATTTTCACAGAAGGGATGAGGAAACTGAGGTAGCTTCTGAGTCTTCTTGTTCTTGATTACCATTAAATCAATGTCGAAAAGAGTGATTTATCATTTATGTGTGAGAATTTGAAATCATAGTTTTTTGGTTTGTTGTGTTTTTGAGATTGTTGTGCAGTGGTGGTACCAAAAAAAACAAATTTCTTCTTGGACAATATGAACCTTGTAATTTGATTAAGATACTGTGAAAGTAAATTAAGGTATTGTTTTTGGAGGGGAAAGATTTAGGTTTAATTTCTCCATCCTAATTCTTTCTTTAGTAACTTTTTTGTATACTTTCTGATTGTAATTCGAATCGGAGTTTTGGAAATGACTGAACATTTAAGATTTGTATGATTATGAACCACATGAGAAGATAAAGACCTTTGCTGTTCAAGTAGTTATTTGAATTGCATGAAATATGATGCATTCCATTTAGCCCAATATTGAAGTTATTGACAGTCATGATTTTCATTTTTATTATAAATTGGGATGTAAGCTTTTGAGATTTAAGTAATTATCTTTTTAGTAATAAAATTCAGAGAAATATATAAAATATTATTCTTGTTTTCTTTGTGTTTTTCGTTCATTTCATACGCGTCTCTACATCAGTTATAGAGTGCCTAATTTGTCATGAATTACATTTGAAACTTAGGGATATAAGAGGCTAAGTGGAAAATAGTACAAGCTTGGATCATATAATCCCAAGGAGATGGATGGACACCAATATATATATAGATATAGATATAGATATAGAGACAGACATATCAAAGGGGGTTGGGGAGCAAGATTGTGTTTTTTTTTTATTGAAGAAACATACTGTGAATTATTAATTGAGCCCAGTTTTGTTGTGCAACATAGCCAATCAGATTTGATATTGTAATGCTGAGTTCTTTGGAGTTTTCAGACCCTCATTGACATCACAAAAATTCAAATTTTTACTTATTGCATATCCTTCCATTTTCTTGACTTCAACTAGGAAATTTAGTTTTGTAATAATAATACTTTTGAACTTTGTAGAATCACTCATCATTTTCTTTTTCAAATTTACGAGGCCCACATATCTAATCATGTTTTCTTGCCCTAATTCAAAACTTCTTTACAATTAAATAAAAGGGAAAAAGGTTTAGTCTGAAAATAAATCAAGATTGTTCTACTGATCCTCATTTCCTTGGAAGGATCAATGGAATTAAGTAGATTGCAACAAAGCGAAAGACAGAATATTAGAAAAATATATATGGTGTTTCTTTTTTTCTTTTTTTTTTTAACTAGATATATGGTGTTTGTTGAAAGTAAGATTTCATGATTTATGGGTGAATCAAATCTCATGATTATGAGCAAATTTATGTATTTTGATATTTATTTCAAATCTATCTGATTGTATTACACCTATGTATTGGTGATAGATTCTAATGTATAAAGTTTATCTAAGCAAATGTCGAGTGTCATTTGGATTTGTGGATATAGGGGCAATGCGTTGAACCACGTAAATCTGTGCTCTTCCTCTTTCTTTTCAGTTTTTTGTTTATTTGTTTTTCTTCACAAAACTTGATAATGTTAAACAAATGGAATGTGGAAACAGTACTTTTTTTTATGTTATCCTCACAATAGATTGAATCTTTCAATCATAATATTGCCTTATAAGTAGGAACCTATCAGAAAAGAAACCATTAATTACATACTTACATGAGATCTTATGTGCCAAGAGTAGAACTGGGTCTTTTGTCGAAACGGAATGGTCTCACTTTTTTTTTCTTTTTTATTTATTGTTAATGGTAGAATTGTTACACACAGTATGCCAGGTCCATCAGCATATTTTTCGTTCCAATTTGATTTCTTCCTTCCCTCCTACATTACTTTCTAGAACTCGTCTAACGATGTGCACAGTACAAAGTTCATAATGCAGAACTCATTTGGTTCATCTTATTAACTTGGATCATCTGAATTAAGTATCTTCAAAATTTGAGAATCCCAATGATAGTCTTTTTTCATTTTTTGTTGTGTTTGAATTTATGAATTTGAAATGAAGAGATCTGAACACTAATCACCCTTTGCATTTTAGGTTGTGTTTGAATTTATGCATTTTATGCTAGAATCCCTTTGCATTTTTTTTAGATGGGGTTTCAATATTGAATTTCAGAGTTTTAACATGATGGATTTAATGAATTTGAAAGAACAATACAAAAGTAATTGTTTAAAATCCTTAATACCAAAGATCATATTTATACAAATATCATAATCAAATAATTCTCTTCCTATTCTACTATGTGCTCCTTTTAACTTCTTAACCTATTTATAATAGCCAACTCTTTATACTTTTACAAACTTTAACCTTAATTCTCTTCATTTGAAACCATCTATCCAATTGAAACTTAAACTACGAGGGGTGGTGGCCTGATGGAGAAAGCAACACATCTTCACAGACTTCACCTAGGGTCGAATCTTTTTTTTGGGGGGGGGGGGTTGGAAGTGCTCTCTTTGAAACCCCACTCTGTACTCCGATTCAAACCCTCGGCATGTCTGTAGCGTATAGTTAAACTTCATTGGTGTCTCGGCGGTGGATCCCTTCCTATGGGTTTGGTCAAATCAGGCCGGCAACCGGTTACCCCGGGGCCTGGGCCCACGGAGGTAGTGATGACACCTCAGAGCTTCCTTTTTTCGGTTCAAAAAAAAAAAAAAGAGTGAAACTTAAGATATTTTGGAATATATGATATAAGAGAGATATATTGAATATATGTACGGCTATATCATGTACATTATTAACCACATGTTTTCACAAATTTATGAACTTTAAATGCGATCAAGTGGATATTGCTTGTTCAATTAAGTGAAATAAAATCTCAATATCACCTATCCATTTGATTGATGACATCACGTTTGATGATGTCATCTTCGAGTGACATATTCATGCTGAGGATCCAATAACAATTGGAATCTCAAGATTTAATTCACAATTGATGTTGAGGATCCAATAACTGTTGTAATCTCAAGATACAATTCAGTGATTCAGTGAGAAATTTGGTCAAATGCTAGGAAAGACATGGTTGGAGCTAACATGTTGAGGTACAAAGATTATTAGAAAGAAGAGGATTGATATGCATGGTATCACATATTTTATTGTTACAAGAAATTAGAAAATAACTTACCAGCATGATAATCTTGTTCATATGCTTCTTAAAGCAAAACGGATTATGCTATACAGATAGGATTTGTGTATAAAAAATTTCATATAGAATTATATGATTCGTTTATATTCATTCATTGAAAATTAAAAAAGTCCATCAGTATGAGTTATAACAACAAAAAATTCATTACAAAGTCATTTTGAATGATTTTTATATTTAAAATTCTATATATTATAATATTTTTCAAACAAAATATGTGCGGACACCCTTGTGTTTTGTAAACCTTCATAGTGGCCCTGATATCAATAGATACATTTGCAAACCAAATCAATTTGAATGTCAAATTTTTTATACCATCTACGTGTCATCATTGCATTGATTTAACTTATAAGTGGTGTGCCACAACATAAATATTTAAAATTGTTTTCATTTTGATTGTAGAGTTTGATTCCTCACTATCTTTTCATTGGAGAGTTTGATTCATTAGTTTCATGGGCTTCACTATGGGCTCTAGAGCCCTCCTAATAGTTTTTGGACTGGACAGTCCAATTCACAAGAGAGATTCCCCTGCTCTTCCTTAATTTTAAGGGCCTTAAATTACAAGCCACGTTGAATTTTAGATGGGTACAGAAGGCAAACCTACAATTTTTACCCAACCTTTTTATTTTTTTCAATGGATATTAGAGTGGTTACAAATATGAAAAATATTTGCATCATTAAACAGATTAGTACCTCACAATAGTTACAAAGTCAACAAAACTTAATACAACTAACATATCAAGCCCAAACCCAACAACCATTATTAATTACATAAAACATGGAGGTGACAAATGGGCGAGTATGAGCTGGTCAAAACGGGTTATACATTTAAAGCAATACAATCTAAACTCGTCCATTTAAGAAATGAGCTTAAACTGGTTGGGTTGAGTTGGATACAAGTTGAGCAAATAAACCCAACCAACCCATTTACTTCATCTCTTTTTTTTTATTATTATTCTCTTCTTCTTTCTTTTTTTTAACAAAAAATAAACATTTTTTATTTTTCATTTAGTTTTTTCAAATTTTTTATTTTTTATATTTATATATATATATATATTATTTTTTTATTTGGATAAATTATAAATACATCCCCTGAGGTTTTATTAAATACGATTTGCCCTTTGTGATTTTGAAAATTACATTCCGCCTCTTAAAGTTTCTAATTTCATAACAAATGGCATATTTTATCAATAAATCTTCAAGTTAATCAATAGCTTTTAATGATGTCAAACATTTATTTCAATTAATAATTTAAGTAATTTAATTATTTAAAAAAAAAGTTAGGAATTTCCTTTTTTCAGTTAGTTTGTCACTGCAACATTTACTTAGTTTATGACACTTAAAACTATCACAAAACTACTCCACTAATGACATTTTTTAATTTTGTGGCGTTTTCAACAAGTGTCATTTATACCCATGTCACAATAGATACTAGTGGCACCTCAATGACACTTACAAGTGTCATTATACTATCAATGCTAAAGACTTTCAATGACACTTTGATGTCATGGTGAACACTATTCGTGACACTACCAAATGCCATTAAAGAAGACTTAGCGGCACCTCAACAACACTTGTAAGTGCCATTACACTATCAAGGCTAAAAACTTTCAATGACACTTTAATATCATTATAAACATTATTCGTGACACTAACAAGCGCTAGTAGAGAAGACTTACAATCTAAAAAATGCCACTATATGCTTTTTTTAATGGGGCTTGTTATACCACAATTGATATTTTTAACAGCTCTAATAAATGCCACTCAACCCGACTTTTAGTTGCAGCTTAAATTATCAATACTTCACAATTTATTTGTGTCATAAATAGATATAAGTGCCATTGGAACTATTCTAGTGACACTTTGCAAAGCAACTACCACTACTGTAAAATGCCACTTATATGTTCTTTTTAGCGACACTTTTAAAAGTCACAACTAAACATGTGTAAATGTCTGTAAAAATTGTTCCTTATTTTTTTAAAAAAATTAAATATTAATTGCCACATCCTAAATTGACAATTTGACATCCATTCATTCTATAATATTTCCATGATAATAAACAAATATTATCACCATAGGATCAACACATAAAAAATAAAGAAAATTCAAAACACAATTAG